TATTTGGTCCCTTCTGATATGTCTCTTTACACTTCTTGGGTTCCAGGAGTTGAACAAATTTGCTCTACAACATCCTTCTGCCATGAAGCTTCTTGTCACTATTATCTAGAAACAACTGATCCAGTGTCCCATGGACTGAAATCTCAAAAATCATGAGCCAAAATAAATCTTTCTTCATTTTGAGTTGTTTATGTCAGGTGTGTTACTAGAACAATGAAAAGTCTAACACACCTTCTTTGGACAGCGTTGGCTTTATGCATTTGTGAGAAAACCCCCATCAACTTTGAGAATCAGGTGACACTACTGATCTTATTTTACAGACTAGGATCCTTAGGCAAAGAAAAGTTAAGTAACTGGCCTGCCTTACTCCCTTTCTATTGCTGTTAAGAGACACCGTAGCAACTTCTTTTGGTAGCATTTACTTGGGGGCTTGCTTATAGTTTCAAAAGTTTAGTCTATTATCAGCATGGTGGGAAACATGGCAACACCCAGGCAGACATTGTGTTTGTGAAGTACTTGAGAGTTCTAAATCCTGACCCGCTGGCAGCAGGCCAAGAGAGAGACACTGGGATTGGCTGGGTTTTTGAAACCTCAAAGCCCACCCCCAGTGACACAATTTCTCCAATAAGGTCACACCTTGTAATCCTTCTAATCCTTTCAAAGTGTTCCACTTCCTAGTGTCTAAGCATTCAAATATGTGCGCTTATGGGGGCCATTTTTATTCAAACCACCACATGGCCCAAAGCTACTGAACAAAGAAAGAAGTAGAGCTGGGATTTGAAATCTGTCCTCAGATCCCTATACAACAGAACTACTATATATAAAGATTTGTTATTTTAGACTTGATGACCCCTTTGAGGACTCACTGAACAAATATGCTGCTGAACATCAACTAGTTTTTGAAGCTTATAACAATGGAAGTCTGAATAAAAGTAACCCTGCTCACCCTTTTCTCCCAACATAGATCTAGATATGAACTGTACTTTTCATATGGTGAAAGTCTTCAATATTCACGGGAACAGAATCAATCACTGCGGAATGTCACTAACTCTAGGAGTTGGTGTGCACAGTCTAGTGTAATCTCAGAGTGAGCAGCCTCAGTTTGAGCTATGAGCTATTAAGGAAGCTAAAATATTCCCCAAGGCATCTTTTCATTGACCAGAAGAAAGTCATGGGGCCAAGACTCTGCAGGTGGAAGAGATAGTTATGCCAAGTGCTGATTCTTCTTTATCAGCACTTTCCTGCCATTTTCACTTTTCCCTCATGAAAAGGGGCATACAAATAAGGAAAGAAAGTTATTTATAATTTACAAACCCTGTATCCTTGCCTTCTAATACCACCCTTCACCTACGGAAGGTTATTCCAGTTGTAACATTAGAGGAGAGCATACACTGAAAAGTCCCCAGATTCCATTTCAGTAAGCAGATACTGATGGTTTGTAATCTAGAGTATTTTCTTCTGATAAAAATTCAAAGTATTGTTTAACAAAGTGGGGACAAAACCACAGTGAAGCCTGGATTAAGAAAAGAAAATCTGGGGCTTGAGAAATTTCTCAGTGGTTAAGACCTAGGTTCAATACCAACACCCATATGGTAGTTCACAACTGTCTGTAACTCCAGTTCCAGGGGATCCAAGACCCTAACTCAGACATACAGGCAGAACACTAATAAAATAAAAATAAATGAAATTTAATAACAAAAAGAAAATCTGTAGGGCCAGCTGACAGAAGCAGGACCTTCACGGTACACTAAAAAGCCAGTATGATACAGTGAAGAGAGAGTTTGACTGAATGACCAAGGGACACTGTGACCTTCTATTTCTATATACACAGCTCTACTAGCCATCAAGAGTTAGAATGAAACAGAGATGTTTTCTCCTTTAAGAAAAAAAAAGTGGACTATTCAGGGTGGAGGGTTCAGGAGGTAGTGCTTACTGTGTAAGCCTAGTGACCTAAGGTTGATTCCTGGAAACCATAGTGAAAAGACAGAATTGTCCCCTGGCCTCCACATATGCACACACCACACACACACACACACCAAATAAAATAAAAAGTTGGAAACAGACTGCTATGCACATTGGTATGCAGTCTTCAAGCACAGGCATGCTGATCTTCTCTGGATAATTTCAGTTTTAGTGCCTTGCCACCAAAATGCATGAAACAGACATTTTTTAAACAAACACTTGAACTATTCATAAACTTTCAACAATAGCTTCATTGAGATATAATTAACATAACTCACATCACTCATTTGGTGTGTGATTCCTCATTTGCTATTTCCCTCAGCTTCTAGAAACCACTCATCTATTTTCTGTATCTATATATTTACCTATTCTAGACATTGCATAGTAGTGGATTCTTATTAGGTCTTTTGTGATCGGTTTCTTTCATAGAATGTAATTTTTTCAGGGTCCATCTACGTTACAGTGGGTATCAGCACTCCATTCATTTTCTAAGTGGAATAATGCTTCATTGTATGCATATACTACATTTTGCAATGAATCCATCAGTTAATTTGTGCATCTCATTTTTTACCATAGCCTCAACTGTGCTGTTGCTCTTTCAGAATCATGAGATTAAGAAAGGCAGATTCTTCCTAATGGCTCAGACTGGCTACAACGTTCTTGCAGTTCTTATTCATATTCAATTATGATTGCTTACAAATAAAGGTGTATGCAAGCTTGCATGGTGGAGTTTGCTGCACATCCATAAACCCTATTTCACATTGGAATTTACAGGGATTTTTGATCACTATCTTGTGTATTCTTCTTCCTCTCATTAAAATTTAAAATAAGCCAAACAATTGATTTACTGCTGTGGTAATAATTCATTGGCTCTTCCTTTTCTGACCTCACCCAGGCTTTCCATATCCTGAACACAGAAAGTCAACCAAAGAGGGAACGTGGGAGCAGGGGGAACAGAATAAATGGGATGAGAATAATACAAGATGGGAATCTGGGTTCCAACCCTTGGTATACCAGCAATAAGCTGTGTTACTTTGAGGAAGTTACTTGGTCATTCTGAGCCTTAGTTAACTTATACTTACCATTGTTAGATTATCATTGGACAGTCAATCTATATGACACATCCTTCTTAGTTTGAACATACTCTGGGTGTCTGGAGGGGTTCAAGTGACTTGGGGAGAGGACTACTGGGGCCCAGGTCTAGTCTGAGCCATTGCTAGAGGGCAGCATTGTATCAGCCATTATTCTAATAAAGCTGCCTGGGGTGCGGTCAGCTCAGGATTCTCTAATTGAAAACTGTAGTTTCTTTCTCTTCCACAAATGGCATTCTTGCAAAGGGAAAGTAATTTTTGAAGAACTGCAGAGCAACCAGGAAAAGAAAGGTTTTTGGATCCCTGTAAATTTCATTGCTTGTTAACAATTTGAGAAGGGAAAGGGGGAGAATGCTGCATTTTGATTTCTAATCAAGCCTCTTTGCTTTAAGTCTCCAGATACAATTGCACAACTATCGTTTCCTCCTTGGAAATTCCATCAGCACCACGATGGAACTACCAAGAGGTTTGGTTCCAGTTCACAGACAGAAAGTCAGGATACTTCTTATCTCCAAGCTCTCTCTTCAATGACTTGTTTAAGACAACTCAAAAGTAAACATTTAAGAAATGGGTCTTTTACAAAGAATAATTCAGAAGGCCCTTGTTAAATCTTTTGATTGTTTGCCACATTTCACAGTGGCTAAAGTTCTGTGGGTCAGTGTGGCATTCTAAGCCACCCTGATCTGGGGACAATATCTATCTATCTATCTATCTATCTATCTATCTATCTATCTATCTATAACTATGAAGTCTGTTCAACCTACATAGCTCTGGTTTGATGTTCTTCAGCTATTGAAGGTTCCCCAGCCCCAGCTCCTTTCTAACCTTGAATATTCACATAGGCTACTACCAAGCAAGGTGGGGCTGCCTCATATGGGATACGTTCATAAAGACAGGTCTCAGTGTTTATCAAAGAAAAGAATGGACTATGCACATTGTCATTACTGGGAAATAGTTACACCTACCGCCCCTTACACATACATACTTCAGTTACTGGTAGTGGCTACTTAGAGTATTGTTGAAAATGATTCTAGAGTCACAGATAGGTTCTGTTGGAAAGATGCAGAAGTTTTCAGGCTCAGTATGGCTTGATTCATGATTTTTCGATTTCCCAATGGTAGCAGCAGCCATATTTCAAAATTTAAATTTTGATCTTTTTCCAGGCTAGCAGGGTATGTAATGTTGATTGTCTTAGTTACAGGGTCTGTTGCTGTCCAGAGAAACTGTGACTACAACAACTCTTATCAGGAAAATATTTAATTGAGGGGTCTTGCTTACAGTTTCAGAGGTTTACTCCATCGTCATCATGGTGGGGAGCATGGTGGCATACAGGCAGATGTGGTGCTGGAGGAATAGCATCAGGACATTGACTGAGACTCTGAGCCCAAGAAAGCTGAAAGCCTACCCCACAGTGACACCCTTCCTCAAACAAGGTCACACACACTCTAACAAAGCCACACTTCCTAATAGTGCCACTCCCTATGAGCTTATGAGGATCCCTTATATTCAAACTACTACAGTGATGCTGAACAGTGGCACCCAACGACACAATCACAACGGACTGTGTTATTAAGTTCCAGTGCTTGCTAGGTCGGTTCTATTAATGCTCTTTATATTTGGAAATTAGTAATGTCTGTTAAGAACAGAGGACTGGCTAAACAATGTGATAAAATCGCTGTCCTTCAGGTAGAATCACATAAATGACTTTATTGAAATAATTCATTATTAATTTAAAAATTTAACTTGTTACTAATAATATTAGGAAACATAATAAAAGACAAAAGTAGGTTATCATTGAAATAAAGGTGGAGCATGTCATAGAATATCTAGGTTATTGCTGACACGAGGGTGGCAGGCAGCTCTTCATCAAAATCTCCTACCACCAGGAACTTGAATACCACCAGTATTCTTTGTCCTTCTGCTCCTCTTCTCTATATCTCTGCACATATGGTAGTCAATCTCGTTTCCCAGGTCTCCAATGTCCAGTATGGTAACCACCAGTTACAGGTAGGTATTGAGCAGTTTAAATGTGGCCAGTACAAATTGTGATATGCTTGTTGTTAATAAGAAAAAATGCACTGAATTTTGAAGGACAAGGACAAGAAAAATAGGATGTAAACCATTTCATTAATTAAGAAAATATTGATTACATGCTGAAAAAATAATGCATGCGGTGCATTGTGCTAATTAAGTATATTATTAAAGTTGATTTCACATGTTTCTTTTTTAATGTAGCCATTAGAAAATTTGAAATTACATACTTGGCTCACAGTATATTTCTGTTTATTGTGCTGGTAAACAGCTTTATAATTGATAGCTGCTTGGGCAGTGATTGATTGGGTTCTCTAACAACAAAGCACAAAAAGTAGGGGAAAGGACCTTATCAGTAAAGCTAAGTGAAATGCCCATTTCTGGAACATTCTTAGATAGCTTGATTAGGAGTGTAGTATGAGCACATGTCATCTTCTGCTGGGACATAAAATTGAGGTGAGGCAGAGAGAAAATTCCAAAAAGAATGGAGGGGGCTGTATGAATAAAACAGTAGGTATCCTTTAATCTGCAATCATACTAAATGTCTTTTATATTTAACCCCCAGGGTCCCACAGCCAATTATACAGCAAGTTCCACTTCTCTCCATCCTTAATGTGTCTATCACTCTGTTAGTTCATTCACTGTCATCTCAGTCACTGGTAAATGATTTTTAAATAACCATAAAATATAGCCAAGTGACTGTTTCTCCTCTCAAAAAAGACATTTGTGAAAAGGTCAGAATCACAAGCCAGTTGTGCCATAATTCATGTATGTGACCAACACTGAGTCCCATTGCTTTTCTGAGAATAGTACAAACCCTATTTACCAGAGTCATGGTGATATTTATGAAAAAAAACTATTGTGGGAATCCTTTAATGTATAAAATGTTATTGTTGAGATTGAATGATGCTATAAAAATGACATGCCATTTCCTTTACAAATATCCTATCTTCCTACTTTCAGGGACATATTTAATTTCCCAGAAGGTGTAAATCTTCTTTCATGAAGATTTCTTCTTCTGAATTAATTGAGTGAGCTGTATGCTTATCTGGGTAATGAAAAACAGAAAGGGGGAGAGGGGGAAGGGGAAGAGGATATGGGAAGAGGGAGAGAGAGGGAATAAGAAGAAAAGGGGTGGGCCACTTCTTGCGGGAGAACCTCAAGGCCAGCACGGAAGTTGGTGACACGGCAAAGCAATATCTAGAAAAAGGTCTTCTGGTCCCTGATCATGTGATCACACGCCTCATGGTGTCAGAACTGGAGACCCGGAGCTCACAACACTGGCTTCTAGATGGCTTCCCGAGGACATTAGCACAGGCAGAAGCCTTGGACAGAATCTGTGATGTGGACCTAGTGGTCAGTTTGAATATTCCCTTTGAGACACTTAAAGACCGTCTGAGCCGACGATGGATTCACCCTTCTAGCGGGAGGGTCTATAATCTGGACTTCAACCCCGCTCAAGTGCTGGGGATTGATGACATCACTGGCGAGCCACTTGCCCAACAGGAAGATGATAAACCTGAAGCAGTTGCTGCCAAGCTACGACGATACAAGGATGCCGCAAAACCAGTCATCGAACTGTACAAGAGCCGAGGGGTGCTCCACCAGTTGTCTGGGACGGAGACTAACAAAATATGGCCTTATGTTTACACACTTTTCTCAAACAAGATCACACCTATTCAGTCCAAAGGCGCATACTGAGCCTGCCATCGGAAGAACCAAGAAGACATGGTCGTTCACTCAATCATGTGTGTCGTCTTGGTGCCCTGGCCAAATTAGAAGCTAGCTGAGATAGCTTGCAGCATCTTTTCTAGTTTAAGTGACGAGGTAATGAGGAAAATCTAGTGGGTAGAGAGAACTCTGCCTTTGAGAAGAAGCTGTGGCTCTGCAGGTGGGAGAGCAAGTACAGACTGGATTTCCACCAGCGCTGAGCCGATACTCTCTCGATGGGTTGACAGCCATGTGCTGCTGTCCTAGCCTTTTTGCATGCAATGGTGGTAGAATTCCTGGTTCATGCCACCTTGCACAGGCTGTTGAACCACAGCACTGTAAGCCTGCGGACTTGAGGGGCTGTGGTTCCAGCTTGTCCCCTGCCATGCCCTCTTGATGACAATTGAATTGATGCTAATTGCACTCAGTGACTGTTTCTCCCTCCCATCCTAGACATCCTAGTTTCTGCTGACTGTGTCTTCTCATCCACTGGCTCCCTTCATATGCTACTCAGTAACACAGTAGTCTCTGCATTTTTTCCTCTAACTTGCTCCTTCTACAAGCTGAGAACCAGGGGACTGGATTCAGTCCCTTCATAATGGGAACTGAGCCAGGCTCTCTGCCTGTCTTGAACCTACTCTGTACCTTTTATTGTTTAAAAAAGATTCCCCAAAGTCTCTGGGAGTTCTCAAAAGAAGTGTGGAACGATCACATCTTCTTCATAGACGTAGTAATCGTATGGAAATCACTGGACCAATGAGATGAGTTAGGCTTCTTTACTCAAGGCAAGATGAGTATTGAACATGCTGCTAAATATTAATGCTGACAGTACCGTGTTTTCCTTTGTGAGTGATCCAAGCAGATGGTAAGAAGTCAGTAAAGGGAGCAAGCCTGTGGGCTTGGAGCATCTTGCACTAGATGTACATTGCACCTGCACAGAGTAAGACAGCTTTACTGTTATGGGAACGTAGAATCTTTTTTCTTCCTATTCCAAAGATGCAGTCTATAGGTGGCCATAAAGTCCAGAAATGAAGATGCTAATATTTTGTTAGTCATCATGTGTCAATAAAGCATTTGTTAAAAGAAAAAAAAAGAAGAAAAGGGGTATGGGGGTATCTCCAGAGTCTGTCATTTCCTTCAGGGCAGGGCCTAGGCCCTCCCCCAAGAGTCCAGATTGAGAGAGCATCCCTCATTGTGGGATGGGCATCCAAAGTCTATTTGTATGCCAGGAATGAATACTGATCTACTACTCAAGGCTCTGTAGATTGCGCAGGCCTCCTCACTGACAACCACATTCGGGGGTCTGGATTAGTCCCAAGCTGGCCTCCCAGCCGTCAGTCTGGGGTCCAAGAGCTCCCCTTTGTTCAGGTCAACTGTTTCTGTGGGTTTCACCAGCCCAGTCTTTACCCCTTTCCTCATCACTCCTCCCTCTCTGTCACTGGATTCCAGGACTTCAGTTCAGTGTTCAGCTGTGGGTGTCTGCCTCTGCTTCCATCAGTCACTGGATGAAGGTTTTAGGATGGCATATAAAGTAGTCGTCAAACTCAATATCAAGGAGGGGCATTTGAGGTAGTCTCTCCACTATTGCTTAGATTGCCAGTTGGTGTCATCCTTGTAGATCTCTGGAAATCTTTCTAGTGTCAGAACTCTCCTCAAACCTATAATGACTCCATCTATTATGGTATCTCTCATCCTGCTCTCATCTATTCTTCCCCCGACTCAACCTTCCTGCTCCCCATGTCCTCCTCGCCCCTCCTCTTCTCTCCCTTCCTTTCCCCTCCCCCGTGTTCCCAAACTGCTCATGAGATCTTGCCTCATTCCCCTTCTCTGGGGTACCATGCAAATTTCTCTTAGGGTCCTTCCTGTTTCCCAGACTCTCTGGCAGTGGGATTGTAGACTGGCACTCCCCTGCTTCATTTCTAAAATCCATATATGAGTGAGTACATACCATGTTTGTCTTTTTGTGACTGGGTGGCCTCACTCAGGATGCTAAACACTTATTCTTATATCCATAGATCAGTGTAGCTCTAAGGCCTCACCAGAGAAGCTTTTTCTCCCTCAATGGATGGCAGTTAGCATACACACTCACACTCACATAGACGCACAAAGTACATTCGGGCGCGCACACACAGTCATAATGAATAGAATAAATAATCTTAGAGTGCTTGTCCTCAAACCAGTGCTCAGGTAACACTGAGGGAGACAGGGCAAAAAGATTATCAAAGCTAGAGTTTGGGTGGACTGTTTTGAAATAGTGTCTTTTGGATAAGACGTGGCCATTAGACTCATTAACTTACAGCAGCTGTGGCTATTTGCACAAGACCTGCACAAGATCAAGCCTGTTGGTTTTCTTTCATGGATGGTAGAGGGGTCCACAAGGTTGTCCATGCTTTACTGGATGGCTTTACACCCATGTGAATATAGACAGAACTAATTAGACTCAATGTGTTATTTAAAAAATGAAGAAAATGACATTTGGAGGGGGAGCATGAAGTTGTGGGGGTTGAAAGGAGTAGAAAAATTGGAGTTGGGGTGGCTATGATAAAAATATATTAATTTTTGAAAGAAAGAATAAGTTCAAGTTTCTTTTGTCTTCTATGAGCTCAGAAATTTTGTGAGGTCACACACAAAATGTAGTGCATTGTGTGTCTCCATGTAGTGAAGGTGTTTAAAACTAGAGAAGTGCAAATCCACAATTTTCACTTTTAATTACTATACCCTCTGCCATTTTGCATGAAAATTATCTTTTTACAAAATGGAACAAAGAAAAATACATCCACAACTTTGATTTATCTAGATTATTAACTCTAACAAGGTGTTGCTAAGTAAAAGAACCACAAAAAGCACATCCTCTCAGCCCAAATATCACTTTTTGTAAATGTGGTTCTGGTTCAGGGGTTCTGAATGATACTAACATTGTTCATAGTTCTCTTTTGCTGTTTTGGCCTTTGCCTTCTTCTTTCAGTTGTTCTTTTCCTAACAGTTCCTGGCATACTCTACTCTTCATTTAGAATCTACTACTTGTTCCGGCCCTTTAAGAAATGCATTTACACTTTATTTTCATCTATGGTCTAACAGCTGTGGAGATAAAGAGACAGGTAGGAGTATAGTTTAATAAAGCACATAGATGTTCAACTGGTTAACTGCTAATTTATACTTTAAAAATAAACTGAAAACATTGGTTTTATATGTATGTGAAGGGACCTGTATTGCAGTGCTCATGTAGTCAGGGGGCAATCCAAAGAAGTTGGTTCTTTTTTTTCTGTTTTTTCCAAGACAGGGTTTCTCTGTGTAGCCCTGGCTGTCCTGGAATTTCCTCTGTAGACGAGGCTGGCCTCAAATTTACAGAGGTCCACCTGCTTCTGCTTCTCAAATGCTGAGATTAAAGGTGTGTGCCACTGCAGTTCGGCTGTTCTTTGCTTTTGTCATTTCACTGGACTCAATTGCAAAATTATTACCTGTTTTAAACTCTAAAGCCAGTCACTTGACTTACTGCCAAATTCTTTCCTTAGAAATGCTTTGGAGTTCTAGTCCTAGTGTTCAGTAGAGTTAAAAGAGGGGCTTTTATTTATAGAATACTTTATTAGATATCAGACCCATGTAGATTATACCTTACATATTTAATGCAGTGCATTAACCCCTGTACACATGGACAAAATCTAACATTTGCAGATCAATATGGTTGTTAATGCCTATAGAATGTCAACTGAACATGTTAATTGGTAATACTTTGTTACAAAGTCCACAGCACAGCATATGTTTGCAAAGATTCAAATTATATGTATCCTCGTGCACATATATGTGTATGCATGTCCATGTTCTCTACTAATATTATCCTTCTTTTACTTGCTTCAGTTAGTTTTCCCCCTTGTCCCAGAATCTCTATTTAGAAAACTCTCCATCCACTTTAAAATAATTGAGATAGATTTTGTTTTGACTTTTGAAACATGGTGTTACTAAAGCAAAGCTGTTCTTGGACAAACTATCTACCTTAGGTTAGCCTTGAAATGAGGGCCTTATTGCCTCAGCTCCCCAAGTGCTGGAATTAGAGGCATGTGCCATCACATTGTCTCAAGATGATGTGTTTGTGCTAGGCCCCCTTGCATCTGTGAGAAATTCCTACTGATGGCTGTAAAAATAGCTCTAAGCATTATCAATGTGTTAACAGAACTGAAATCTCAACTGCCTTTGTATTATTGTTAATTTTGCTACAGAAAAAATGATTCACTCTTACTATGTGAAAAGCTCCTAATAGTCAACTTATAGCAAGAGGTCCCATTCTGAGGGTAAATTGTGTCCATGACTGAAATTTAGCTATATCCTGGCATGCGAATCTGCTTACATGGGGGACCAAAAGACATATTTGGAAAGAATGAATTCTGCCTGGAGGGGATTGAGGAGATCCAATTACACAGTCTCAGAGTGGAAGGGGAGAACCAGTTTGGAAGACACTGCGTTATGTTGTTTGGCTGTGTCCCTAAGTTGGCACCCTATTTGACAGAGTGCAAAAAAAAATGAGAACTTCATTTCCTTTTGTTATGATTTGAGTGTGAAATGCCCTTGCCCAAACTCATGTATTTGAACATTTGGACTCCAGCTGGTGGTGGCATTTGGGGAGGTTGTGAAACACTTGAGGGTAGAACCTAGCTGGAATGAGTGGGTAAGCAGGAGAGTGGGCCTTGAGGTTTGATAGCCAGCCCTGGCGTCCTATTCCACCTCCTTGTTTGGCTGAGATGTGAGTAAGCAGCTTCATCTCCTGCTGCCATAGCTGGGAGCCCCTTTTTCTTCTAAGTCTTCTTCACCATAATGGACTGTACCCTCAAGCTGTGAGACCAAAGAAGTTTTTTCTCCTAAAGGAGAAACCCATTAGCAGAATTTAGTTACAGCAATAGGAAACAACTAGTTCAGGGTCTCTTCACTGTAGACATCCAGGTAGCTTTGATGTCTTGAAGCCTTCAAGTGCAACCCAGCAGTACCAGATGTGCCTGGCAGAGAAGGTAGTAGTCAGACACTACAGTG